TTTCTTTTCTTTTCTTTTCTTTTCTTTTCTTTTCTTTTCTTTTCTTTTCTTTTCTTTTCTTTTCTTTTCTTTTCTTTTCTTTTCTTTTCTTTCTCTTGCTTGCTTTCTTGCTTTCCCCTCTTTCTTTTTCCATTGCCTGTCCCATTTCTTGCTGTGAGATTTTCTTTGCAAAAATGAGTATGAATGGAAAAAACAGAACACTGTCCTGGAATTGTACAATACAAAGATATAAGAGAGAAGAGCAAGCCCACTGCACTGAAACATTCACAGCTGAAGATGCAGAAACCAGTTGTATGTGCAGGCACTTGGTGGAATAAATATACAGTGACACTAAATCCTGACACCCAAACCCCCCTGCAGTGAAGCCAGAGGAGAGATCTGCCCACCTGTCACTGTGTGACTACCCTGGCATCTCCAGGGCTTTCAGCAGCTGGGAACAAAATATGGTTTTCCCTGTGCCATTTTTCTGGTGTCCTATTCCAGGAGGCCTAAATGTTTTGCCTTTGGAATGGCGTGGAGCCCACAAGCAGTTTTTACTCACTCTAATTTCCAAAGATGTTCTAAAAGCTGATTACTGGAGAGCAAAGCACTGCTGTGATGCTGTGTCTCAGCTAACCTGCACTGTGCCTTTGTGCTGTGTAGGTGATACCTACTGCTACGACAGAGGGATGGTTGCCATTTTCTTTGGTTTCATCTCTCAGGAGTTTTAGGTATTTCTCACCTATAATCACACTTGTTAAGAGCTTAAGGCATAGGTCACCTGGGAGAGAGCTGGCAGAAGAAAATTCAAAGCAGAGCCCTTCCATTACCAAAAAGAAAACCCCAAACAACTCCCACTGATTAAACTCAACAAAAAAGATGTACTTGGTTCATTCCAAAGCAAGGAATAAGGTTTTTAAAACAGTTCGACCAAATGCCACCTCTAAGTGAATTTGATTCAAATCTCTTTAAAGCCAAAGTGGGGTTTTCATCAGATATACCAAATTTTTGCCTGTTTTCATTCAGTATGAGGTCTCTTGTCATCTGCAAGGTTTTGTATTTAACTGTGTCCACAGCCCTGGTGCAAAGTACCTATGCCAGATGACTAACAACCAGGACACATTGTCACTGTCAGAGTGGCCCCTTGATGTGCTGTGCTATTGTTGCTTGCTCTCGTGAACAGCTATTTTTGTTTCCCACAGGTGTTTTGCTTTCTGCCAGGAGCAGCGAATGAACCACTCCAGCTGAGCTGTGAATTACAGGCCCAGAATGAATCCTGTGCAGGATCCTGCACAACAACAGCACCTGATCTAATCTTTCCTTTACCCCTGTGCTGAGGGAAAGTCAAGGTAAATTCATGTCGAATGTCTAAGTTCACTCAGTGGCTGATAAAACCTCTTTTAATGGATCCAGTACAATGAGTGATGATCCCAATCAACACAGCAATCATTGTGTACAATGTGTCTCATGTATCAATGAAAATGTGCATTTGTGACCTATCTGTGGAACATCAGTGGTTGTGATTCTGTTTTCCTATCCCTACTCTCAGAGGTGACCTCTAATGAAGCAGCAGAGGTTTTGTTTTGAAGAGCCTCTGGTTGAAGAACAAGAATTGGGAATGGTGGAGGTGCAGAGAGGGAGACAATAACTAAAGAGACTTCATAAATTTGAAGTATCTGGGCAGAATTTGTGGGAAAGTTCCTGCAAACCACTTCTGCTTTTGAAGGGTCTGCTCAAAACCACAGCTTTGGAACAGAGCCAGGTCAGAGATCAGAGCTTAGTAAGAATGGGGAAATAAGGCCTTCCCTGCCTCATTAGCTTGAATTTGAAACATTCTCTTTGTCCAACACTTCTGCTGCCCTAAGGCGAAGATTTTTGTAACCTGTGTTCAGGAGAGTAGGTAGGAAAGCTGTGCATGTTGGTGTGAGAGCTTTTCTTTGGGAATTGGTAAGGAGAACGAGCTGTTATCCTCCACTCCCCTCCCAGGTGGTGCATGGTGATTAGTTCCAAGTTCCTATTAAATAGGATCTCTGTGTACATAAGCTGATTATAAGAAAACTTACACTTTTAGAGTTATTCTTTGTCCTCATGGAGACACGGGATGCCCAGTGCAAGCAGCACAGAATCTGTGCGTGCACACTGTCCCTCTGCCCATGGCAAGTGCCCTGGGTGCTGTCTGTGAGGCGAGGCAGCAGCAGCTCACAGCAGTTTCGGGTTGCTCCTCAGTCGGAGGCTGGAGTACATGCCCACGTGCCGCACCAGGTTGGGCTCCAGCACGAAGGCGTTCTCGCCCTTGGCCCGCAGCAGCGAGTAGAGGGCGGTGTCCTTGGCGAAGCCCTGGCGGCAGCGCAGCCCCCGCAGGTATCCCGAGGCCCGGCGGGCGGAGGCGGCGGGGAACAGCATGGCAGGCGTGCAGCACTCGCTGGCCGGCACCACGTTGTAGAGCGCGGGGTGCAGGCGGCGCAGCTCCAGCCCATAGTGCCGCCCCACCAGCTCTGCCAGGGCCATGCTGTACAGGGCGAAGAACGCCACCAGGCACCAGCCAGGGCCCGCCTGCCCCACGGCCCGGCAGTACGCGGCGGCCAGCACCGGCCCCAGGAACATGCCCAGCCCCAGCCACTCCAGGATCCTCATGGGCTCGGGGTTGAAGTAGCGCTGGAGCCTCTCGGGATGGTACAGCTTGAAGTAGAGAGCGTGTCTGAGGTAGGGCTTGGAGAACCGGGCCGAGAACAGGTGATGCATGACAGAAAATATCTCCTCCTCTGGCACGGCATCATCCTCCACGAGGAGGCTGTACTCTGGGCTGTACACCAGCAGTGACTGCTCGAGGCAGAAGACATAGTCCTGCTTCTCCTTCTCGAACTGGTTCAGGCTGGGGTCAGGATTCTCCCCAGTTCTGTCACGACTGACCACAGGAAAGAGGCTGCTCAGCAGCCTGACGTCCTGATGGCTGCTGGGGTCTGACTCCACGTTACAGAGGAGCATGCGGTGCCTCTGGCAACGCGCCCCACACTTCTGGAGGAGGCGGTGGAAGTGGGAGGCCACTTGCAAGACGTAGTGGAAATCATTCCGCCTCTGCACAGTGACAATGGTGATCAGCAGCAAGGGCTGGAAGGCGTCACTGCCAGAGGCCTCGGAGGCGTTTGGCGTCTGCATCTTCTCAAAGTAATGGAGGGCATCCCGGCCCTCCTGCTGGTTCTGCTCCAGGAACTCCTGGCTCATGGGGTTCAGGTGCCAGCGCCGCAGGTAGAAGTAAGAGTGGAGGAGCCGGTGGCAGATCAAAGGTGCCAGCACACCAAAAGTCACCACAGTCAGGGTGAGGAGATGGATGAAAGGGCTGGACCAACGGCACCACTTCCCACAGAGCTGCCTGGCTCGGTGTAACATAACTGCTGCAGAAGGAGGGCACTCCTGCACTGCTCATGTCCTCAATCCTTCACTCCCAATGCATCTTTCTCTCTGGACTGCAGGATGCCACTGGTGCCATTGCTGCCAAACCTGCACAGGTTGTCCAAGCCTAGAAAGGAAGAAATAAGGATGGTTACTGAAATAGGAACTGACAGAGAAAACAGAAAGCAGGGTACTAGTCTCTGAGTAAGCCAAAATACAAGGCCCCTGTGGAATCCCTTGTGATGGAGGCATCACAGAACAGTCCAGGGAGGTTGAGGACAGATGAGTCAAACTTAGGTTTCCAGCAAAGGACCCCTAAGGCCTTTTTAGCACATAGGAGCTCTGATCTAACCAGGCTCAAAAGGACTTTTTGTGTTTGCTACTGTGCTTCAAACGTAACTACAGCCAAGTTGGATGCAGGATGTGTGGAAATCCCTTTCTGTTAAAGGCATGGAACTCAGGTACCCCTGTCTGGTGACTGTGGCATAGTAATGTTTAGATCACAGCTATGAAGCAAAGTCATATCTCTTGTATCTTAGTCTAGCACATACTGGAGAGACAAACTTTTACCTCTTTGGAGGTAAAATCATGCTTCCCTCCTGCTGCTCACACACTTCCAAATGTGGGTTTTCTCAGTCTCCTCCCCAGAGTGTGAAGCCATGCAACAAAGACACCAATTTACTTCACTGAGGGCCTGTGTATGCTAAAGGCGTGTGTCTGTCTGTTACGTCTCCTCCTCTCTAGACCCTGTGAAATACATGAGCACAGCAACATGAACATGTCGTAATTGAGCCATTGACTCCTTATTTAAAAGAATGCAATTTAGAAGTACATGCCTTTAATTTTAAACTGAAGTATTCACATAAATACGTAATTTTTGTAGCCACATTCACTTTAAGCAAATATCCACCTTCATAGAAGTCATATTTTACCATATCTGCTTCTCTGGCTGCCCGGAACACCTCACAGCCTGGCTGAGAGAAGCTTACTCAAAATCAGGGCAGTTAGTCTGCTCAGATGAATTCTGTCATGTCAGTAGTCTCACTTTTAATTCATTCTCCCTTTAATTTCCTATTCCCTCTCCCTGAGTTACTCATGTTCCCCTCACTGAGGTGACTGAATGTGCACTGGATGTTCAGTGCAGAGTTTTTCCAATTTTTAACCTTCTGCCTTCAGCAAGTTCTGATGATCAGATGGTGGTTCCAGACCAAAATGTTTTTCTTTGTCCTTTTCTGCACTGTCATCTGAAGCAGCCTAAGCAAAGTTGGGTGAATGGAAAAAATCGTGGCTTTTCTCCTCTGTCTCAGATAAATGTGTCTTGTATAAGAAAAGACTTGGAGGATATAAAGCAGGGTCTGTCCCTGCGGATACTTCAGAACTGCCTTCTTTACAGAGGTCACAGGTTTGCTATTTTTACCATTAGGAAAACCTTTTCCTTTTGTCATATGCGAATGTGACAACCATCTATGAAAGGCCTTTTAACAAGACTAATGCAAAATATACAAGAGTTATTCCAAATATTTCTTCGAGAACAGGTAGTTCATGCTGTGAGATATCAAACCATCCTTAGATAGACTGTGGCATTAGTGTTGTGCTCTTAAGGCTCAAAACAAAATTTAGAATAATTAAATTGAGAACAGATTTGCATGCTGATGCACGAGAATCTGCAGTTTCTTCCATTATTGCTTTCTTTTCCTGTTTGGTTACACAATCCTGTTGCACAAATGCTGCATTGAATTGCATCAGTGAACCTTTTAAAGGCTCTAAAGGTGATGGCTGTACTTCAGCTGCTAGATCCAAGTCCTTGGATCAGGATTCAGGATGTGAAGACCTGAAATCCATCAGATGGAATGATCTGGCATTTAAATGTATTTATTCATCCAAAATCCTAGGCCATCCCGCTAATCTGACACAAGCATGAAAAGAACACAAACATGCAGAATCATATTCCAGTTCACGCTGTTGAGCCTTGTTTTGATACAAGCATCATTGTAGGCACTGTCTCTGAGCCAGCCTCCAAACTTAAACATGAGGACCACAGTGGGAAAAGGAGATGAAGGAAAACTAGAAGGTAGTTTAATTCTCAGGGAATGAAGTTTACTTTCCATCTTCTAACTATGCTGAAGCTCTGAGCTACAAAACCTATGAGCTGGCAATGAGATCTTGGGATATATATTGAAGCACTAGTAATAATTCTTTGAGAATTTCTTCATTAATAATTCTTTGAGCAACTTGGTCTAGTAAGTGGCATCTGGCAGGGAGGCTGGAACTAGCTATTCTTTAAGGTCCCTTCCAATTCAAACTATCCTATGATTCTGTGATGATAATGCTCACCCAAGGAGGCTCCTTCCCTCACACTATTTTCTGAAGAGGAAAAATGGTTGTCCTGTCTTCTCTAGTGGCCAGCAGACTGGGGGGGCTGCAGCCTCATGAGATGAATCAAACAAATCTCACTTGACATCTTGCTCTTCTGCAACCCATGTTGTTCAAGGATCATGTCCCAGGTCCCTGCTGGTAGACTCACACTGAGTCCAAAGCCCAACAGCACTGGGAAAGTGGTGTGGGAACTCCACCTGCTGGTGTCCCAGCTCCCAGCTCAGGGCAGGGTCGGTGAGGCGGTGCAGGTGAGCACCACCCTCTCTGGACGTATCTCCTGCCTCCAGCTTCCCCTGGAAAAGCACGAAGGACTGGAAGCCACCCATGCAGGTCACTGTGTTGTAATTCCAAGCGTTATGACTTAACCCTGGCTTCACTTCACAAGTAAGAGAGTTCAAGGTCTTAGAGCTCTTATTCTGGCTCTGCAACTCAAGGAGCCTCAAGAAAACAGCAATCACACACAAACCTACTGCTACTCTTCACATCTTCTGCTTGAGCTGTTCACACTCACACTGAAATCACACTCTTTGTCACTCTGTCTGCTGAGGAAAAGGCTGTTTTCACTGGGCAGTGAAATAATCACAGAGCCTAAAAATAGTCAGGAGTGTATTAAAGCAGGTCAAATACTGCAATTAATGTGAAAAACAAGCTGAAGAACCTAGAAGAGGGAGGAGACTGACCTCCTTCTCACCTTCTGTCTGTAACACTGGGAATCTGAGAATTCAAAGTATAGATTTAAAAATTCTTACTTCTGCAGAAGTGACGTTTGCTCTTATCTGCAGTATTTGAATCCAGAGTTTCTGCTCAGGCTTTTTCTGGCCATCAGGATGGTTCTGATTTCAGAGGAGACACTGTTGTCAGGAGCTCTTTGTACTGTCATTTTCATTTTTTTCCCTTTCTAGGGGGAAAAACATCTTGTTTGTTTTTCATGCAAGTATTATTTCAGACAGAAAAAAGAAAAGTCTGAGGAGAAAAGTGAGAAACAGATTTGGATTTTATACTGCCTTAAAAATCCCACTTTATTAAACCTGAAAAATAACTACTTTGCAACCATATAAGTACTTGCAGTGGAAGCCAGATTTACACGTTCTGTGTAGAACTGAGCCATTGCTTAAACACAACTAGAAGTTGTGGTGTTAAAGAGCTGTAGATTTGGCTTGTTTGTTTTCTTAGATTCTCATGATGAAAATTCCTTCCAGAAACACCTAATTCCAAATCTATATCATATCTTCATTAGTCCTCTAATTACTAGGCTGAATTACACTGTTCAGGAAAACTCATCTATTTGCACACTGAGGAGAGTAGAAAAATAAGTAATGTACTCTTTGGGGTGCACAGCACTGTATGCTGTGCTTGTGCTTTAAAAGAAAAATCTGATTTTCTGTCTGCTCCAAACTCCTCTCCACAAAGACGTGTTCCTGAACAAAGTTTTCTGTATGTTTCAAAGCTGCAAATTTTTAGGTTCCAGGATAGCTGATGTAAGAGAGACCATCTGCATTCTACTTCCTGCATCATGAGACAAGGACACAACTAATTCCTGTACAGTTACAATATTAAATGACTCCTTTGGCCTATCTACACTTCTTCTCAGTGTCAGTGGGTAAAGCCATTCCTTTCCTAACATAAAAACAGCTGGAGGAAGTCTTGTGGTCAGAGCTATAGAGTCATCTGTCTACAAAGGGATGAAAGAGGGAAACAAAGACAGGCTCTTGGAAAATGTCATGGAAATGTTATGGGCAGTCACAGTCCCAGCTGGGCCATAGCAGTGGTGGGAGTAATGGTGCTCACACACGTGGTACCTTACATTTGTGTGTTGATCCTACAGCAGCACCCAAGCTCAAACCTTTGTGTGAAAAGCTTTTCTATGCCCCAGCCTAACATCCTGCAGATGAGCTGCCGGCTCAGGACCAGCTCCTCTGCTGATGAACCCTCTCTGGCACAGACAGGGCCTTTGGGTGCTGTGACAAACATCCTGCTCAAATCTGAGGAAGCCCATGGAGGCTTCCCAAGGCGCCATACAGGCATGCTGACAGGGAATATACAGATATCCTCAAGTTCTGGAACCTGAGGTCCCTGCCATGAGCTGATCCTTATTACTGGGCCAGATGGCCAGCTTTTCTTATCTGCAATTCCTCTTGTTTTCAGACAGCTTTTAGTAGGTCAGGTGCCATATAATATTTCTGCAATGTGTCTGGCCTCCCTTGACAACAGCAGTGTCCAGTAGAAGCCAAGCATCCACAGAACTGATCACTGCACTTCCATGCCAAACTGGGAGCTGGGACTCCCTAGAAAATTCAAACCATCCCAGCAAGAGCTGTGCTGCTAAAAACATTCAGAGGAACCTTAATGGTAAGAGACCAGTAGTTGTTCCTTGATTGTATTTTACTGGCAGGTACCAAATATACCTCACCTCCTCGAGCACTGCTGAAAGCAATTGTTCTTATGTTGGTCGTAGATGATGAGTCTCATCTATCCTGTTATCATCAGATAAGCCAGGCAAAGGTCAAGGCTGCTGCACTTAATCTCTCAGCTCCCTTAGAACTTTTGTTTCTTATGGTCTGTGCACTAAAGGTGTACTAAAGGTGTAACACCATCACAGTTAACAGATTAATGACAACTTGAAGTGTAAGAGAAGTGGCTAGAGAGGGGCCACTTATTCCCCTCTCTAGGACTTATGCCTTTGCAAAAATTATGTGATGCATGAGAAAGAAATTGAAGGCACTGTTGTCTGTTTTGATCTGCCATTCCTCAGGGCCTGTCAGTGAATGTACAGACATCTTCTGTCCAAGGAGATGGAATTTAAGCACTATTGGAACAGTAAAAATGCACAAATATGCAGGTTGTAATTATGTCCAGTTAGGTAACAATAAAAACTGCAGAATTAAAACTTGAATGTAAATTTCACCATAGGCTGGCTTGCTATTCTCATTAGACTGTAGTTAACTTTTACAGGTTGTTCATAAATCCCTAGAAATCTATGATGCACAGTTTGAAAGCTACTGAACTAAGAAAGGAGGGACATAGCTGTGGCAGGTGAATGACACTTCCCCATTTTATTTGAACTAAGAGGCTAAGACTATGCCACAAGTGAAAGAGGCTGTGAACTCAATAGATATTAATTACAGTTATTTTCCCAACTACTGTCTTTTTCTCATGTATATTAATTTTCCTCTGTCACATAAACCTCAGCAGAGCCCATTTCACCTGGCTGTCTCCCTGCAGGGCAATCCCATGGGAAAGCAATGCTCCCTCTGTTGCTACCAAGAGTCAGGTAGATCAGATGAAATGGGAGTGGAGAGCAGCCTGAGAAGAGTTCTGCAAGGTAACAGCTAAACACAGGGATTTAAGGCAATGGCTTTGGAGGAGCTGTCTGTGATTTTGGTAGGTGTGACAGGTGGTTGAGGTGCCCCAAGAGAACCAGGGCTTGTGATCACAAGGTTGCTCCTATCTGTCCAAAGAGCAACTCATCCACTCAGTCGTCTGGTGGGGTGGCCTGGAGCAAACCCCCACAATAAAATCACCTGTCCTGTCCTCCCTTAATCCTGATTTGTCATCTCTTGGACAGCTCCTCATCCATCCCTGGGCAGAGTTCCATTCACTCCAGCTGGTCACTGGCCTAGAGGGTGACCCCTCCTCAACTCCCACACCTGCCCTTGCCATTCCACCACTCCAGTCCCAAGAGTCACCCCAGCACATTGCCATGGTGCTCAGGAGTTGGCAGCCCTGCAGGTGTGCCCATGACTCCAGCTCCCCATGTTCATTCCCCAAGCCTTTGCACAGAGGCAGATAAGTTGGACTCTGATAAAGGTAAAGTAGTGGCTGGAATTCCTTTGTGCTGCCATGCCCCCCTGCTGCTCTCTGATCCCTTCCCACGTTCTGGGCATCTCTTGCTAGCCCTGGCTTTAAACTGAAAGGCTTGGAGTTCCCCTCCCACAGAAGCTTTAAATTAAGGCCCTCACCAACTTGGCAAGCCTGTCACCAAAATTCCCTCCCTATGTCAAAAGGACCCCAGCAGTCCCAACAGGTTTCTCCAAGCTCTCCTGTGGTCCAAGCTGGACCCCTGGCTGTGGCACCAGTCTTGTGACCATTTACTGGTTCAAAACCCCTTCCCTTTGACTGGAGAGGATGGAGAAAAAGCTACCTGTGCTCCAGAAGATGATGGAGGGACTGGAACATCTCTCCTATGAGGAAAGGCTGAGGGAGCTGGGGCTGCTCAGTCTTGAGAAGAGATGGCTGAGAGGGGACCTGATCCCTGTCTGTCAGTGTCTGCAGGGGATGGAGCCATGTGGGCCCAGCAGTGGGACAGGCAGGAACTGATGTCTGGGAAACTCCACCTGAACATGAGGGAGAACTTCCCTGTGCAGTGACTGAGCACTGAGCACATTGCCCAGAGAGGCTGTGGAGTCTCCCTCACTGGACGTGTTCCAGAACCTGGACACAATCCTGTGCAATGGGCCTGGAATGACCCTGCTGCAGCAGGGAGGTGGGACCAGATGACCCACTGTGCTCCCTTCCAAGCTGCCCTATTCTAGGACTGTGCCAGGCCTGTCTTCCCAGGAATTCAGGTGTCTAGGCCATGTTTTGCAAGAGCTAAAGGTACCAGCCTGAGCTGGGATTAGACAAAACTGGAGCTGCTACAGCTGCACCTCTGCACCTACACCAAAGAGGTGTTGGCTATCTCAGTCACTGTAGGCTGTGGATTCCTGTGGCCCCTGCAAGCCCAGAGAGCCCTCCTGTGTGGCCTGGTGGAGATCTCCCTGTGAGCTGGGACACTGCTCAAGGACAGTCCTGGAGGCTGAGACCCCCTTACCCAGCACCTGATGCCTATAGTGAGGTAACACATTTTGCATTAAGCCTAAATGTATGTTGTATGTTCATGACATTTATATATCCAGCTATAGCTTTAGGTGTAGAAGTATAATAACTAGCAGAGTCTAATCATGGTTTAAATCATTGCTAAAATCAGAAACTGAAAAATGTTCAATTACTATTTCATTGCAGCTTAATTATTGTTAAATCATTGTTGAATCACTGTTAAATTATAATTCAATTATTCCTTAATCACCATTTGCAATTTATTTATCATTAAATATCATTTGATCATCATCTAATAATTAATAAAACCTTTTTGTTATCCCCACAATGATTAATTCTCTTAAAAATTCACCTGTGCCAGTAGAGTTGTGGGTGTATGAATGGGGGGAGAGAGAGAGAAAAGGAAACAGGTGATGGCTGCTAACACTGCAGATGTTGTAGCTTTACTGTTGTTTATGACTGTGAAGAATAAAGTACAGGAAAAAGGAAAGAGAATAGTAGTGAACAAAGGCTTTTCATGACAAAGCTGCAAATTTCCAGTGGGACAGGTCTATATAACAATCAAAATGTAAAATTGTACAAGGTAACAACCAGAGTATTATGATTCAAACCTCTGTTTGAAAGAAAAATGTTTAGTCATATTGATAAAAAGCATTCCTCTTTGAAGAGACTCTGCTATTGTTAAACTACTGACTTCTCTGTATTCACCACTTGTGCCTGAGCAATATACACCCTTTTCCTCCCCTCCCCCCACAACGTATGAGCCGGAGTGTTTATTCTGCATAGGAAGGCGTGGTGAAAGGAATGCCCTGGTTCTGGGGGATCCTGGTGATCTGCTTGAGCCCCAAGGGGAGAAAATGAGGTAAATGCAGGAGCTGAAAAATAATCTGTGGTATAATTATAATACTGTCCCTTGTTGGACAGACAAGAAAGCAGCGGATTTCACATGTGCAGGAGGGTGCTTCTCCTGGTTTTTGTGCTTGCAAATGCTTGCTGAACCTGATGTGCCCTAATGGTTATACATAAATTATTTTCGCAGTGACTGCAGAAGAGAAGCCAGCCCAGGAACCTGTAGTGTACATCTGCCTAGTTTCATGTTTTGCTGCATCACAGCACAACTGCAGTTTTCCTCAGCAGCCTTTGATTCTAAATGTCAGCGACTTCGGCCATTGGGTTTCCCTTCAGGAGAGCTGCCAGGTAGCACAAGGTGACCCGTAAAGCACCGGGATTAATAGCAGTTACCTCAGTGGTGATGGTCAAAGAGGAGAGGGCGTTAGATAAGAAAAGCTGATCCCACCTCCACTCTCTGCCCTCCTTGCAGGACAGCAGACACAGAGGGCATTTCAGTGTGCCCAGTCTTCAGCTCCTTGCCCGGATTTCAGACCAGAGAGATTCTGGCCACGCTTCTACCTCGGGCGAGGGCTCCTCTGGGTGGCACCAAGCAAAGGGCAGAAGCTGGCTGGCTTTTCCCCGTTCCCTTAAAAGTTCCACTCACCTTCCCTAAGGGAAGGGCCGTTTCTTGAGGCCCGGCCAGGGTCTGGCCACTTTTCCTCCTGCTCATTATCATGTACAGGCACATCCCCGGAGAAAGCACAGAAACATCTCCTCGATCCCTTGCAGGGTTTCCACTTCCCTGCCTGCTCGGGTGCCGCAGCCACAGCAGCCACGGCCAGCCCTGTTGAGCAGTTGTGGCTTCTCATCAGCCATAACTTCGTGGCCCCCCTTTCCCTGCTCCCCCAGCCTCGGTGCACTTCCCCTTTATCCCCCGCAGGGGAAGGGGAAGCATCCCCCCGGGACAGCCCGATCCCAGCGGGCGATTTCCCCGACCCGAGCGGCAGAGTTACCCGATCCGCTGGGCAGCCCCGCACGGCCGCTCCCGTCTCCCTCCCTCCCGCAGCTCCCGCCGGGATCCTGCTCTCGGCGTGTTCCTCACTTCTCTTCCGCGAATTTCTCCCCTCCCTCTCGGGCGCTGAGGGTGGGATTAAAGGCATCAAAGACCAAGCATGTGACTCCGTCAGCACAGGGATGCTCAAGGAAGGAGGGGAAGGGGAGATGGCCGGAGGTCATCACCGCATACCAGGCAGGGCAACGGTCCCTGGAAGCAGATTCAGGAGTAAATCCCGAGCCCCAGGAGGACGCCCGGGGCGGAGGCGGCTGCGCAGCCCGAGCTCCTCATTCCTGCTCTGCGGTGCCCGAACGCTCTATCAGGAGCGGCGGGACAACCGCAGGGGCAGCGCATTTCCCCCAGCCCTTCCCAGCCAGGGTGTCACCTCTATTGGGTGTTACCTCTGTTGAGTGTCACCTCTATTGGGTGTCACTTCTGCCGGGTGTCCTCGCTAGCTCCCGCGCCTCTGGGGCACTGCCCTTCCCCGCTGGGACCTGCTGGATGCCCCGGACCCCTCGCTCACTCCCGGGAGGGGAGGATCACCGGGGCCCCGCAAACTCGAGCAGAAAGTGTCAAGAGTCACCACCATGTCACCCATGACAAGTAAAAGCTTTCGCTGTCTCAGTCTGCAGCGAAGTCTTCACAGGTGTATTGGCTGGAGAGGCTGATCAGCAACAGAGAGATTTGTACCAGGCTGTTCAAGATTCAAACATTTTATCAAACTGCTTCTGACCGATTCACTCCTCCTCCCTCCCATCCCCCAGTGCTTTTCTCTGTGTCCTGCTTCCTGGTTCTTATACACACACGCACACACCCTTCAGCCCTGTGACCGCAATACCAATTAACTCGTTACCTGAAAGATGCTTCAGGGAAAGTTTTCTGTCTGTCATTGGGTTTGTGCCTGCAGCTCCAGAAAATGCAAGTTCATATATTTGGGTTAAACTATTTTCAGGCTCAAGTCTCTCTTATGTCTCAGAAGAATGTGGAGGAAATAAAAAGTTCTACCAAGAAAAAAATTTCTTAAGCCCTTTCAGTAAAACAACATGTTCTGTTGAGCGCAGCTAGAATTTTGCTAGCATCCAGTCCTGTAATCAGAAGGTTCTAGCATGATGTATGTTTTTAATTTTAACATAGCAGTTTCTATCATTCCCTCTTATAAGCATGATGAACCAAGGAAATTAGCTTTGCATGCTTGTGATCCTTATTCTTCCCCCTGGAAAAAGCTGTCCCACACCCAGGGCTTTTTATTGCAGAGACAATATGGAAGAAGAGGGGAAAGCCAGGTGAACAGTAATGCCCAAAATAAACAGCACAATCAAGTACCACAGTTGGGCTCCTGTAGTAGCTTCCTAGAAACAGGCTAGGCATGTTGGAAGGACCACCAGTTTACTAAGATGCATATTACTCTCTCAAAATACTAAAGAAATAATAGTTTCTCCTGTGATTTACTTTCTCAAATCCCTCTTTGCTGACCACCTCTGCCTCTCTTTCTGTTTTTAATGATAGTGACTTATACTCTACCTCTCACTTAAATGCTCTTGTGCCTTCAAAAGTTCATGCACTGGAAACACAGCAGATCCTGGAACAGAGCCAAGAAAAAAAGACAGTACTGGAGGTGGGAAAAAGATAATACATTGCTAAGAGTTCTGTTATTATGTTCTTTCCAGGATAAGAGTTGCAGAATTTTTAAAAACAAAAAATGGTTTTTACCACTTCATGTGGGAGAGAAACTGCTGAGCAGCATCAGCAGAAACACCACTGCAACCAGGATTACATTTTGAATGATGTTTCAGCCAGCAGAATTTATTACCAGGGGTACTAAATTAAAATAAATAAATAAATAAATAAATAATTTTAAAAAAGGCTTGAAGGCCTTTTCTTTGGGAATAAATATTTAGGTCATTTTAATTTTGTGTGATTTCTGTGCAATCTTCCCAGCTCCCTCTTTGCTCACTTGCACGCTTTTCAGGATACACTTGACTTTCATCCTTAAACAATTCTTTCTTTCAAACAGCTTCTGTTAGACCCAAAAGACTGATGGAGAAAAGTCTCAAGGGATTTTGGGGCAGTGGCACAGAGTGACAGTGGAAATCTGTCATTCCTGACTATTCATCCATTCTTATCATGGTGCTGTGTCCTGCTGTGCACAACCATTAGGGACACTGATGTAGCTAAAAAAAATAAACTTTTTCTTCTGGTGGGTTATGTCTTAGTTGGGTCACTTTGTCCCTTCAAGTTCCCCACACCAAATAGCATTGTCAGCACAGCTGGGAGGGCTTTGGAAATCAGAGATGAGCATTTGGGGACACAACTGGTCCTGCAGTAACCGAACTGCAACCTGAAATGCTCAGAAGAAATAGTTACTTATGAAATTATTCACTCTCTATAACAACAGGACAAGACTTTAAAACTATGATTAGAAAAACATCTTGGGATAAGAATTTATGTGGGTAGCAAAGGTTCAGCCCAACCATTTAGATCCCAGTATTTTCCATTGCCAAAACACCTTTCCTCTCTGCCATCCACTGTAACAGCTTTGATGGCACTGAGCAGTTGTGCAGGGGAATGGGAATAATATTTTCTTTTGCTTTGCCTGAGATCAGGTACAGCTCCTGCTTTTCATGAGCATGAGTGTCAGAGGCAGGACAAACCTAGCCAGTGATGTTTAGATACTTGCACAACGTGCAGGCAAGGCAGAAATTCATGGTCTTGGGGGAGCTGAACTGAGAAGCCTGGTGTCTTCCAAGTTGTGTTATGTGTGCCCTATGCATCACTGTCAAATTATCCTTACTCGTGGCTTGTGTTCCTTGTGCTCCCCTCCAGATTCCTTGGCTTTCCTCCTACAGCCTCATGTTTTTTACCAGAAGGCAAGGGCATGAGGGTATGCACACCCCAGTTGATTTTAAGCTGCTTGTGTTGATTATTGAGCCATCAAATCTAATAAAGAGCTTCCTGTTCGGGGTGTCCTAAGGTTCTGCTCAGCCGGATGGACACACTCAGCTTTTCTGCAAGGCACTGCCTGAAGTACACAGCAGCAAACATGTTTGGGGCTTACCTCCTTCAGTTGCAATAGAATTTGAGAAGTGTGTTCAACTTACTAGGGACAAGGAGGAAGCCGTGAAAAGACAGGAAAAAAAAAAAAAAAAAGAGACACATAGGAAAAAAAGTTTTGTAAGGCTGGTCTCCTTAGGAAGTAATCCAAAGCCATTGCATTCCAGCAGGAGCAATGAATAATGTGTTTAGCATAACATGTCATACCAGTATGTACGTAAAGCACAAAGGCTGTACCTCTTTCACAAACGCTCTGAGAAGTTCTGTAGTGACAGTATCATTCCTTCACAGATGAAGGAATACAGATACCAGATGATAACAACTGCCTGGTTATTCCTGTACTGCCAGCTGCACCATGGATACATTCTCTCTGTAGGTATATGCTGTTCACTTCAAATGCAAACTCTTAAAATTATTTTCTTTCTCTGCTAATTATTTATAGGGGGAAACCTCAATCAATATTTCTTGCTTACATTCTGCTTTTGTTAGAAGCAGCAGACATTTCTGATGGCTATTTTGAATAGAAATACAATATTGAGGACAAGCAAATTACATAGAATGGCAGTGGCTTTCTTATTTTTTCTTTTAGACTCAATATTGATCACTGGGGACAAGAAGTGTTCAAAGTCCTTTGCTGTTTACTGGAGGCATAATGAGCTTATATATCAGGGCCACTGTGTTGAACTTATGACAGCAATACTCAGAGGAAACACAACTCCATCAGGGATGGATTAATGCTGGCTAAGCTGTCTAGGGTACATTAGTATTCTCTAAAAAGGCTAAAATATTTTAATCTCATTTTCTTCCTGGTCTGTGTATATGGTTTTGGTTCTTTACTAACCACCCTTCATACATTTCCCAAGTCCTCCCTCTATAGAGTCTCCTATATACAACCACAGCCAGACTTTTCAGGCTCTTGCCAATAACTAATTCATCTTGCAGATGAATTATTAAATATTGTTCCTGTAATCTCTTCTACCCAAGCTGCACACATCTGAAGATAACAGAAACACATTCAGTGTAGTCCAGTTCACTTTAGAGAGTATTGGGCATCCCTCCCTACCACAGAAACCCTTTTTCTCTGCTTCTTTAGCTTTTCCAATCAAACCGAAAAGGCTGCTCATAGCTAGAAGAACACCAGAGTGAGCCAACACAGAAATGTGTTGAATGATGACGGAACTGCAGAAATACTGCAAGCCTGGTGACACTCAGAGAAATGGATGTACCTTGGCCAGGTTAGTGGCATATGCTCTGGTGATCCAACCTCCTTCCTGTCTTGCTCCAACGTTCTGACTCTTGCAGACCACAGTGTTTCTAAGAAAGGGACAAACATTTCAATTTAGACATAAAGACTAGTGTCTCTTCAAAATATGTGTTAAAATACATTGGCTCTCAGTTACTTGCTCTGTGTTGCAACATAAAAGAGTGGCCTGGAACAGTGTACTTTTTGCTAAAGAAAGATGCTGATGCTAAAAAAAGAATGAGGTGAAAAGGCAAACCAGAAGATTTCCAAACTGAGAATCAGGAAGAATTATCCCCCAGGGACTGCTGGAAAACTTTTACTTTCTCTTGCAAAATGGAGTTATTTTGTATGCTCACTGAGCACTTTTCACTAACA